AAGCTTGGGGCCCAGCTCTGATGACAGGGACATAAGATAGTTGTCCTCACTTCTCTAAGCAGGCCTGCCCCTTCCTGGGCCCAGTTGCCCACCCAATCCTTCTTGGTCAATGTCTTCTCTAGGGACCAATGGCATCTTTCTCTGGATGCCGTCTCTGCTTTGGGATTTATCATCCTGGATTTTATTCAGCAAAGTTTCCAAGACTCCTGCTGACTCCTGGTCTGGCCAACTGCTTTGCAACATTTTCTACTTAATGTGTGAGTACTTATACGGGAAGCCCTGGTGGCACAGAGGATAAGTATTCCGCTTATACTTGAAAGGTCAGTAGTTTGAATCCACCCGCCGCTCTGCAGGAGAATGTGGTCGCCTGTAAAGATTTCAGCCCTGGCAACTGTATGGGGCCGTTCTACTCTGTGCAGCTGGGTTGCTGTGACTCGGAATGGAGTTGGTGGCAGTGGGACAGTGGGAGGTGGGTTCAGAGGAACTCAAGCGACTCGCAAGAATCAGAAGCAATGCAGCCAGCAAGAGACTCCCCTTTGGGAACAGTAAAAACTCACAGTGAGAGCGACAGAGCCCAGCAACAGCACCACCGAATAGACCAGCCCCCGGCTGTTGATCTTCACCTGGAAAACAAACACACACTCCCTGAGCTCTTCGGAGGCTCGGCAGTCATCCGCTCAGAAAGCCCCCTCCTCCAGAAAACATGGGTGTCACCGCTGAGCATGCGGCCTTGGAGTGAGCTAAGTGCGCATTCACATCTTGGCTCCGCTGACCTCATCTGGGATGGACTAGGCCAAGGATGGATGTGTGCGACCAAGAACTTGGAGGGCCTTTGGAATTTCCCCAGGGATTAGAGTGTCTTGTCATTCCAGGTGGGCTGGTGGCTCGAGGTGGGGAGACCGGCTCGGCCAGAAAGCCTGATCGCGTGATTAGTGGTGAGGGACACGGAGCTGTGTTCCATGAACCCCAACCCTGAAGAGAAAATGAGGAGCGGGAGAAGGAGTTCCACCCTGTGGGCAGCGGTTCAATCCTGTGTGTGTGGCACGAAACCTCAGGGGTAAATTCCAAGAAGACTGAGTGAGCTTCCCGAGTTGGCACACTGCCCACATGGTGATTCTGGGATGGCAGAGCGTCCCCCGGAGGACACAGAGGCTCTGTGCTTGGAACCCTCCCACTTCCCAACTCAGGGTCTCTTCTTTCGGTTGGTTCTGAGTCTGATCTTTGGTGAAATAAAACTATAGTTTTAAAGAGGGCCCTTTCCAGAGTTCCATAGGGAGCTCTGGTGGTAAGGACCCCATGCTGCTAACCCAGAGGCAGGCGGTTCAAATCTACCAGCTGCTCCTCAAACAAAAAACAAACAAACAAAGTAAAGAAAGCCAATCTCCTTTCATGCTATTGACAGCCTCCAAAAACCTGCGGGAGAGTTAGTTATAAGGTGGTTCTGACTCGATGGCACATAACAACACAGGTTGTTCGAGGGGAACCCATAACGACCTCCCAATTTATAACCAGATATTTGAAAGTGTGGGTGTCGAAGGCAGCCGTGTACCTGTGGCTGATGTTTGACCTTGTGGACAGTCTTGCTATAAACACCTCAAGTCTGACCAACCCCTGGGAGCCCAGTGAGGGCTGGAGCAGTGGGCAGAGCGCTGACAAGGACTCAGCAAACATGGGCTCCCTTCTGCAGACCCCTCCTGGGATGGGCTGGAATGTTCTAGAAGAGTGTCAGCCGCTATGGGAAAGGGACCAGCACATTCTCCCGAGCCCTGAGCAGGCTCTGGACCACGTCCACCATGACCACCGGGAAGAGCACACCTCCGATGGCGTGTATTTATGAGACGAGAGAAACTTACTGTGGATCCATAACTAATGACCATGGTCTGCAGGCCCCATGGAATGCCGAGTCCTACGAGGATGTCAAACACGTTGCTCCCAATAGTGTTTGACACCGCCATGTCCCCAAGGCCTGGAAAGGATGACCAACATGCATCATTCACGAGCAGGTCACCAGAAACTCTGTAAAATTCCCACAACTAATCCATCAGTGAAATGGGAAAACTCTGTAAGTCACAGCTCAACTCTAAAACCACGGAGCCACCAGGACTTAGAATTGATTTGCTAACAATTCCTTCCCTGCTCCCCGCCAGGTCTATTTCACTCATGAAGTCCAGAGAGGACGCTGGTCTCCTGCCGGGCTCATCAGCTGGTCTCCTCTGGAGGATCTAGTGGGTGCTGAAACCTCCCAGGAACTCGGAGAGGGGCGCTCATCCCCAAGTGCCTGATGACAAAAAGGAGCTCTGAACGTGACTGGGACGGCCCAGGTCAGGTGGCTCCATCTCAGGTGTCACAGTGTCCCTGATCACCATGCAGGCAGGTGGCCCAGGTGACATGTGATTGTGCGTGACTGACCCCACCCCCTAACCCCTGATTCTGAAAGCAATCCAACCTGACCTGGGTCCTCCCCTCCTCCTGCTCTCACTGCTGCCCTCTAGGACACACTGCCTCCCTCAAAGATCACACAGTGGGCTTTCTAGACTTCCTTTCTTGCTCGTCCTGGGCACCAAGCTGAGTGACCTCAAAGTCCAGGCAGCTTAGTCCTGCTGAATGTTGCGAACTCAGGACACTGACCTGCCCATCTCCCCGTCACTGTCAAACGTGTCTGTGGGACTATTTTAGAGAAGTTTCAGTGGCATGTCCAAGACAAAAGGCTACAAAGAAAGGCCTGGCTGTCTCCATCTGAATAAGCAGCCATTGGAAATTCTACAGAGCGCAATGCTGGGTCTCACTGTGCATGGGCCATGAGTGAGGGGCCGACTCAATGGCAACCCATGGCAGCCTGCAGCTGGGACAATTCAGTGAGCCCCAAAGAAATACATGCCATTAGTAAATCCACATCACTTCAAAGACCCTGAGAAAGCCACCAGACTAGCCAGCCGGAGGGTCTGCAGTGCAGTGCATCACTTTTATATGGTCTTCCTCATCATGGGCTTGTGATTTCTAAAACTGTAGGGTTGCTGCGAGGTGCCCTCAGGTTGTGTACAGTTCCTATTGGCCCTCTGAACAAAAGAGCTGAACCCTGTCCTGTCCCGCGCCGGCCTTACCATCCCCAGCACACTTGAGCGCACTGCTGCAGTCAGTGTGTCAGCCCATCTCACTGAAGGTGCCTCTCTTTCACTGACCCTCTTTCTAAGCATGATGTCCTTTTCCAAGGAATAGCCCTTCCCAGCAACATGGCCAAAGTATGTGAGATGAAGGTTCAAGGAGTGCTCTGTTTGCACCTTCTTTTTTTCTTTTGGCAGTTCATGAGCTATTCAGAACTCTTCTCCAACACCACAACTCAAAGATATCAAATGCTTTTCTGTTTGCTTATTCACTGCCCAGTTATCAGATACATAGCTAGTGCCTGAAAAAAACCCCATGACTTAAGTCATGAGCACCTCAGTGTTTAAACTGACATCACTGCTCTTTAGGATTTTGTAGAGGTCTCTGAGAACAGACTTTCCTAATTCTAAACGCCTCCTGATTTCCTGACTACTCATTTCAAGGGCGCTGATTGTGGATCCTGTAAGACGAAATCATTGACAACCTCAGTCTTTCTTCCATCTACTATGATGCTGCCTACTGGCCCAGTGGTGAGGATTTTCGTTTTCTTGATGTTGAGATGCAATCCATATTAAGACTGTAGTCCTTGAACTTCTGCAGCAAGTGCCTCAAGTCTTTATGCGAATTAAGTACTTGTGGCCTAACAAGGAGATTGGACAGTGCGCTAATGATGTAATTAAGGTGCATGAGACTCCTGTGGTGGTTTATGCAAATAAGGTGAACAGTACCTGAACAAAGAAGTTAGTTAGTTTTGTCCTCCTGGTAGGCTTAAAACAAGAAAGGAGACTTAACTCCAACCAGGACTAAAAGCTGCAAGTGGAACCTGCAGTTGATCCCGGGTCTCTGCACTGAGGATGCTCTAGGCCCAGATGACAGATGGAGAGCTGAAACACCAGAGCTTAATGAGACGGGGAGCAGGGGTGGCAGCAGAGCCAGGAGACCGGTGCAGAGTAGCACAGTGGGCTTCCTGACCCCCAGAGTAAGAGGGCTACAGTGGGGTGCCCGTGCACAGAGCAAAGAGAGCTGAGCAGCTTCAGAAGGCAGTTTACTGCTGGAGAAGGTGCCGCTAGGCACTAATGGGAGGAGCTGGAGAGCTTCATTACAGGGGCCCAAGCAGGGCAGAGATGAGGCCAAGAGGTGAGTGGCGGAGGCCAGGGGGAGGTCTGCCTGTGGCCACAGCTGAGAAGCTGTCCGCTGAAGAAGTGCATCCGGAGTCATTCCCGATGCTGAGTTACGACCATATAATAAGCCGTCATGGTGTCTGTGAGTTCTGTGTGGTCACTGCAGAGAATTACGGAATTCAGTAGAGTCACAGAGAGTGCGGTGGGAAGGAAGGCTGGTAGAGAGTCTGGAGAGGGGAGGCACGTCTGAGCGCCACTCAACAATCAGCCTTGGTCGGAGTGATGCTGGTGAGCCTTCCCTACCATTAAATCAGTGGTGGTCAGACGTCCCCACGTCATTTCTACACCGTTCTAGGACTCAGAAGAAAGAGGAAAGGGCTGTCGGGGCAATGCCATGAAATCAGAGGGAGTCAGACGTCCCCACGTCCTTTCTACACTGTTCTAGGACTCAGAAGAAAGAGGAAAGGGCAGGGTGTACGCCCTTCACTTTGCCTCCCGACACCAGCTCGCTACACCACGTCTGGTCCCAGGACCTGCTTGGTCTCACGCTGACTGGTACTTTCAGAGCCCGGCTGCTTCTGTAGAATCCACTCGAGTAAACACTTGTGGAGGCTGTGAGTTCACTGTGGCGGGACGTCTCCAAGGATGGACTCTACCCGGTGATGCTCTCCAGATGCCACCACTTCTTCCATATCAGGACTTAGCTAGGACCAGGCAGGAGGGGCCGAGATGGGATCCGTACCTTGTCTGGCCACGATTAAGCTGGCCATGCAGTCTGGAACGCTCGTCCCCGCTGCCAGGAAAGTGATGCCCATGATGACGTCGGGGATGCCAAGTGTGTATCCAATAATGGTCACCTGCGGGAGAGGGCGGGGAGGCATGGACTCAGAGGGGCTCCCGAGTGTGCTGACGGGAAGCTGGCACCCCCCAGCAGAAGCATCGAGAATATGGTCTTAAATGCATCTGTGAGTGTTCTTCCACCTCACCCCCCGATTACAAGAGTAGGATGAATTTATGGCCTAAAAAAATGTAGAAAATAAAGACAAGTGAAATGAGAAGAAGGAAAAAAAATATCACATTTTCTCAAGTTCCTCAGTCAGGTACATGACAGCAGTCACGGTGTGGTCTGCAGGGAGTCCCACTGCTGACCCCAGGGCTGTGCCTCGCCGGAGGCGGGAGTTCACCAGGAGCTCCAAGGGAGCAAGATGGACAGATGGACAATTGCCTCCTATGTGACTTACAGCCTTGAAAACCCAATGGGAGGTCAGGTAGGGGTTTGAAGCTGTTACTATATAAAATATATCCATTTAGTGAAACACTGTATAAGAATTTGTTTTACTTTTCTATTTAAAATTTTCCCATTGTTAATTTATAAACAATAGAGATGAAATACTATCTCTTTATATATATAAAGATACATATATATACAGGAATGATACTTATATTTATATGAATGATACATATATACACACACATTTATAAAGATACATATATCCAAATGCTATCTATATCTATCTCTATGTCTAATCTACGTCTGTGTCTATCTATATCATCTATATCTATATGAATCATCCTTATTATCTTTTTTTACATGTTTAGCAAAAATTTTTATTTATTTAGGGAGCTCTGGGGGTGTAGTTTGCAAGGAGCTGGGCTGTTAACCCAAAGGTGGTACCTCTCTGGTGGTTCAAATCCTCCAGTAGGTTTGAGGGAGAACTATGGGCCATCTTCCCCCGTGAGATTTATAGTCTCAGAAAACCCACTAGAAGATCAGCTAAGAGTTGGTTCTAACATGAGAGCAATGAGTTTTGGGAATATTTATTTTTGCCCCCTCTCCCTTGTTTGTAATTTTTTAATATTTTCTGAGTCGTTTTTAATTGTTTTAAACCCTCTCCCTACCAGGGCTTGTTAGCATGCAGGTTGCCAGGTCTGACCCTCAGGTGGGGGTGATTCAAGAGGCCTGAGAATTTACATTCTGGAAGTGCTCAACAGTTAACCAAAAGGTCAGCAGTTTGAACCCCAAAGCTGCTCCACAGGAGAGAGAGGAGGTACCTGCTTCCCTGAAGGTGAACCGTCTTGAACCCCTAAGGGGCACCCCTTCTCTCCTAGAGGGTTGCTAAGCACTGGGACGGACTAAATGGCAGTGCCTCTGATTTCTTTTGAGCAAGTTCTCAGGTGGATGGGATGCTCAGGCATCCAGTTTGGGGTTCACATCTGGAAACTATCTCTTTAGAATAATCTCTTGACCTTTTTGGTGGGCATGTGTGTGTGGAAAAAGCATGGTCTCAGATTATACTCTCTCACTCAATTATTGCTCTTAGTTTGAACCAGTTTATAGCTGACACTGGACGTCATTATTTTCAAGAGGCCTTAAACTGCACAGGAAGAGATGGTCCAAGTTTCTCCCTCAGAATAGTGGGTGGATTCAAACCCCCAAACTCAAGAGTCTTGGGTTAGCAGCTCAACTCCCTGTGGACTCTTTTGAAACTATCTGTTCATTTAACGTTACACTGGAAAGTCCTCTGCATCTCAGAGATTCATCTGTGACATCGCTTTAAACTGCTACCCAGATCTCATTGCATGGCTTTAATTTTTCACACAGTCCCTTACTACTGCTTATACCTTTTATTGAGCACTTACTGTGCATCAGGTACAGAGCCAGGTGCTTTTCTTATAAAATCCGATGTACTTTATTACTCACCACCCCCTGATGAGAGGGGCAATATAATTATACCCATTTTACACCCAAGGAAACTGAGGATCTGAGAGGTTTGGTGACAATGCGACAGGGCGCCGAGCTGGTACGCACGGCCAGGGATTTCCAGAGCCTGGTGGCCACCTCTCTGCCATGCTGTGTTGTGTGTACACCTCAGGGTTGTCATCTGGTAGCTTTCCTGAGATAAACCCCAAGGATCAGAACTGCTGGATGAAAACACAGTGGGATCTGGAGCCACTTCCACGTCTATGCAGGGTTAGGAACCGAGCACAGCCAGCTGGATGTCCCTGGAGTTTCTGGCCTGAAAACCAGCACTAAATCCAAAACTCCCTCCGTGAGGCCAGAGCAACTCTGCAGGACGGAGAAGAACGACTCCTCGGGTTTCCAAAGCTGGACAGCTTTACGGAAGCAGGCTGCCTCAGCTCCCTGCCCTGGAGCACCTGGGGGATTCGAACTGTTGACCTCTGTGGTCAGCAGACCAAGGCTTAATCTGCTGCATCATCAGGTCACGATGACTTGGGGTTTATCACCTTCCCATGTAGGAAACCAAGAACAACGGCATCCCTCAGGGTGCATGTTTTGGCTAAGATCCAATCCCAGCAGTGTGGCTGTGGACTGGCTGATTGCCCTCTCCGAGCCTCAGTCCTCTCCTCTGTGAAATGGGTTTGTATCCTAGGATTAAATGAGGAGTTGTAAGGTGATGGGGCCTGGCTAGGGGTGCTCATGTTTGCTTGTTTTCTTCCCTTTCAATCATTTGAGTCACAGGGGACGGAGAGTCACTGCGTTCACAGGATACAGCGACTCCTTAGCTAAATATGCCTGAGGGACTGGCTCAGGCTGGACCAGAGTCTGTGCATCGCAGAGACTTCCCTTTAGGAGAAAGCTGCACCAAAGGCCTCCTTCCCCATCAGAGTGCTCAGCCAGCACCGTGAGCTTAATCCCTTCATGCTCCACGGTGGGCGCACTTCTACTTCAGAGCCCTGTGCGATGGGCTGTGAAGGAGAGAAACACTCAGACGGGACACGCGGCCCTTCCACGCTCCATCCACACTGGTCTGGGAGAGACCCCACAGGCCAAAAGGCTAGTAAGTTCTTGGCTGCTTACCAAGAGGTGGTTGTTCAACCTCCAGCAGCTGTTTCCATAAAGATGGCGGATTAGGAAACCCCATGTTTCTAGAGAGTTCTACGCTGTCACCACGGTCGCTGACATGAAATGTCTTGACAGCTCCTGGCATAACAGTCAGACCTCTCAAAGCCTGGATTATTCCAGAATGACTGAGATTATCTCCATTTTTAAAAAACAAACAAAACCACCATCTTATGGCAAAGAAGCCCACCAACAAAAAGATTTGTGTTTTTTCCAAGGCGTTCCAGACCAGAGGCATCATGGAGCCCAGTTCTCCCAGTGCTCACCACACTGAGCCACTAGGCAGTGATGCAGTGCTGTGTCCAGAGCCCCAGGGCTGCCCTCAGCTTCTGCCCTGTGCAAATTATGGTGTCTCTTGGGTCCTCAGGAGCCCTAAATGCAAAGAGGCTGACAACAGAATCCAAGTACTCCTCTCTTGATGATTCAAGAACTTTATTTACAATAGCAAAGAGCTGGAAGCAACTCAAGGGTCCAGCAATGAATTATTTGCTAAAGAAACCCTGGTATATTCACACACTGGAGTATTAGGTGGTACTAAAAAATGATCAACACTTTATGAAACACACAATATGGATTAATCTAGAACAAATTATGCTGAGTGATGTATCACAAAAAATAAAATTATGGCATAAGACAACCATTATAAAAAAGCTACAGGAAGCTTTACACACAGACTCAATTTTGGAGGGTTTACAGAGATGGGAAGGGAGAGAAGGAGGGGAATAAAAATTAGTAAATAAAGAAGCTGGGTGAACGGAAAGGCAATATATGATAAGGGGGTGACTGCTGTTGTTGCTCAAAGCTGACCCTCCAGTGGGATTTCAGAGGCCATAAATTGTACAGGAGAGGACTGCCCATCCTTCTCCAGTGAAGTACTTGGAGGATTTGAACCATGTGCCTTTGGGTTGTCAAGGCAATTCATTACCACTAAGCCACTGATTGTGTTGTTGTGTGCTGTGGAGCTGGAACTGATTCATAGTTGACCCACCAGTGGGTTTTCAGTGGCAGCAAATTACATATAAGGAGACTGCCCATCTTTCTCCCAAGAAGCCACTGATTAGATGTTGTAATTAATTAATTAATCAATGACAATTAATGCTATAAAACAAAATGCTTATAATGATTGTACTGTCATGTGCCATCAAGTTGCCTGTGACTCATAGCGACCCTTTGTACAAAAGCCCTAAACCCTGCTCTATCCTGTGCCGATCTTACTGTCTCTGACACATCTACCCCCGTTACCCCACTCACTGAATCAATTCATATCATCGAGGGCCTTCCTCTCCTGCGCTGTACCTCCACCCTCCCAAGCATGATGTCCCTCTCCAAGGACTGGTCCCTCCTTGCAACATGTCCAGAGTATGTCAGATGAAGCTTCAGAACCAAATATGATAAAGAAATGGAAGGGGTCACGGAGCATTCTTTCCAAAGTCTTGATGTGCAGGGTGGTGGGGGAAGGGATAGGGAAGCGGACTTCATTGCTCACTGGTGCCCCCATCAGGGCATGACAAAAATGACTCTGAGAGGCTGGCACACCCTGCACAGGGAGAAATCAAGGTCAGCCTGTATCGTCTTTTTTGGTGAATTCCTATTGTCAAGGTCATTCTATCTCCCATACTGAGGCTGTCTAAAGTTAAAACTTAAAGGTGAAGATGCTCTCCTGAAAGAGGGTTCCTGGGCTGACAGACCACACCATTTGTGACTTTTCTGCTTTAGGAAGCTATTCTTTGGAGAGGGACATCATGCTTGGAAAGGTGGAGAGTCAGTGAAAGAGAAGAAGATCTTCAACCAGATGGACTGACATAGTAACTGTAGCAATGGGCTCAAGTGTGTCAGAGATGATGGGGATGGCGCAGAATAGGGAAGAGCTCACAGGATCGCTCCAGGAAGTACTGCACCCGACAGCACTTGACAACAAGCAGGGCGTTTTAAGGCTTGTGCGTGGAAAAAGTGGAGGCAGGAGAGTTGTTAAATGTCTCCCCTCACTGCCATGGAGCAGAGCTGACTTAATAATGCTTTTATTTTCAATCACTAGAGAGAAAAAATATTTCACATTCATTAATTTCATCCTCCTAATTCTCACACCCACTCAAACATCATTAAGTAACTAAAATTTTTTTCCACATATAATGCTTTAGGGATGCACTCTTATGAGAAACCACTGGATTTATTTGCTGTTGTTGTTTTTTTTTTTTAATGAAAAGACAGACTAGCTGTTAACTTTCATCAGAAAATTAAATATGCACATTCAATGCCTTTAGGGTACAGTGTTTTGATTTTGGTTTTGAAAAATCATCTTTGATTGCCATCCTTTTCTGGGGGGCTTTGGGTAGTTATTATAGGAGCTCTCATGGTGCAGTGCATGATGTGCTAACCAAAAGGCTGGGAGTTCGAATCCATCAGCTAGTGTGTAGGAAAAGGGCAGCTAGTCACCTCCAGTTAAGATTTACAGCCCTGGAAACTCAACAGGGGTCGCTAAGTGTCAGAACAGACTGGGCAGCAGTGGTTGGGTTTGGCTTTTGGTTGGATAGGTGGCTACTTACAACTCAACCCTCAATACACACCCCACTTATGGAGATGGGTGCTGGCAGTATCTCATAGCAAAGGAGGTTTTGGTTTTTCCACAGATACTCCACTCCTAGGAATATACCCCCAGGAAAAGAAAACTGAAACACAAAAGGACAACTGTACACCAGTGTTCACAGCAACGTTATTCACCATCGCAAGAACATGGAAACAGCTCAGATGTCCAACTACAATCGAATGGATTGTAAAATTATAGTACCGTCATGATGGAATACATGCAGCACTCAGGAGCAATGATTTCAAAAATTATTACATAATTTGGGAGGGACTGGAGAGCATTATGCTGAGGGAACTAACTCAGTCTCCTAAGGACAAATACTGCATAAGATAATTCTTAAAAAATAGAAGGATAACTAGTAAAATGCCTATGAGATTCCAAGGGGGGAAGGGGTAGGAGCAGAGGGGTGAGGATGGGCAGCGGGCAAATCACAGGGTCACATAATTTGGTGGGTGTAGGGAGGGGAGGTTAAAAAAAAATGGGGAAGATGCAGCAAGGATCTGGAAAGACAGGGTAATGGTGGGCATAATTCAATGGTGATTAACTTTATAAAACATAATGAATGGAAATGATTGCATGAAACATAATGTGAGCAAAGGATAGTGTAAGACACCAAGTGTCCAAATTTTGAATGCAAACCAACATAAAATAAAATTAAAAACACCAAGCCAAAACAAACCAATTTAGACTTTCCCCTCAAATACAAGGTGGCTGAGACTTTGCAGTTATGAGCAGCTCGCCCTGCCATAGGCTCGGACCAGAACCAGAGCAGCGGGGAAGCGAGAGTCCCTTGCATTGAGTGTGGTGTTTGTCCTGCCCGGGGAGAGTACACTGGGAGACCTCCTGACGCTCAGTGGTCACACTGGGCACTGCTCAGTGAGATCCTCTAGTTGCTCTCACATACACAACGACCCCGGCTCCTTCCTCCTCATCTATGGGGGGGGTCTATAATTGAAGGGGGCCTAGGGGTCATCCAGGAGCATGAGCGGAAGAGTAGGTTAAACACTGGGCTGCTAACTGCAAAGGTGGCGGTTCAAACACACTATCTGCTCTACAGGAGGAAGACATGACGGCTTCCTATAAAGAAATGTTCTTGGGAACTTCGTGAAGCAATTCTCCTCTGTCCCATGGGGTCACTGAGAGTCAGAATCGAGTCTCTGAGATAAACTAAATGATCATCTCTCTTTATATAAAAATCCTTAAAAGGACCAGACCCTCATCTCAAGTGCCCATCCTGGCACCTGAGGTGTGTTCTCAAGACGCTCGCTCCATCCATCCATCCATCCATGAGGGCAGCCTTCCCAAGCTGCCTGTGGGAAGGTCCATCCGCCTCCTCCCTCACAACTCTCTTGATGGTGAGCACCAGGCCGTGTCCATCCTGCATTCCCAATGTTTAACACAGCTCCACATGCCTTTCCCGAAACACCCTTCTACTAAGACACGAACCTCCGTCAGTGAAGTAGCTGGACCTGCCCAGAGGCAGCAGAAGTGCCTGAGGCTGGTCTTGAACCCAGCTCTCCTGCCTCTACCTTGGCAGAGACCAGACTGTCTGTACAGTCCACCCCCTGCTCCCACCACTCACCAGCCACACCATCAGATAGGAGAACACAGCGATCCACAGCGTGGCAGTGACGAAGGTGACCATGAAAAACTTCTCCCAGGAGGGCTTGCTGCAGTTGGGAACGGTGATGCAGAGCAGGAAGATCAGCGGCCAGGTGAGCACCCACTTGGCTTTGTCCCCTTTTGCTTCTGCAGGGGGATGGGGCGGAGAAAGAAGGGAGAGGGAGAGAGACACACAAGGTGGGTTAACACACCTGCCGGAGGGTGAACACACCTGCCGGAGGGTGAACACACCTGCCAAGGGTGAACACACCTGCCGGAGGGTGAACACACCTGCCGGAGGGTGAACACACCTGCCGAGGGTGAACACACCTGCCGGAGGGTGAACACACCTG